CAGCGCTAGCAGCGAGCGGCAGCAGCAGCAGCAGCAGCAGCAGCAGCAGCGGCAGCAGCGGCCAGGCAGCAGCAGCCAGCGGCGAGCGGCGAGCGGCGAGCGGCGGCAGCAGCGGCCAGCGGCAGCAGCGGCCAGGCAGCAAAAAAGCAGCAGCCAGCGTCGAGCGGCAGCAGAGCGGCCAGCGCCAGCAGCGAGCGGCAGCAGCAGCGGCAGCGGCAGCAGCAGCCAGCGGCGAGCGGCGCAGCAGCGGCCAGCGCCAGCAGCGGCGAGCGGCCACAGCAGCGGCCAGGGGAGCGGCCAGCGCCAGCAGCGGCCAGCGCCAGCGGCGAGCGGCGACAGCAGCGGCAGCAGCGGCCAGCGCCAGCAGCGAGCGGCAGCAGCAGCGGCCAGCGCCAGCGGCGAGCGGCGGTAGCAGCGGCCATGGGAGCGGCGGCCAGTGGCAGCGGCAGCAGCGGCCAGGGGCAGCAGCGGCAGCGGCGAGCCAGCGGCGGTAGCAGCGGCCGGTGCCAGCAAGCAGGCGCAGCAGAGCGGCCGGGGGGGAGTGAGCGGCGGCAGCGGCCAGCGCCAGCAGCGGCCTAACGGGGCCCAAAACGTGCTTCTCGAGCCTCCGCGCGCGCCAAGCGGCCGCCTAAGGGGGGTCGGCGCGGCCAACGAGGCGCCAGGGCACGAAAGCGCGCTTTTCGGAGGTCGGCGCAGCCAACGAGACGCGCGGGCCCAAAAACGCACTTTTCCGGCTTCCGCGCGCCGAACCGCCGCCTAAGGGGGTCGGCGCGGCCACCGAGGCGCGCGGGCCCAAAAACGCGCTTTTCCGGCCTCCGCGCGAACCGCCGCCAAAGGGGGCTCGGCGCGGCCAACGAGGCGCGCGCGCCCAAAAACGCGCTTTTCCGGCTTCCGCGCACGCTGAACCGCCGCCAAAGGGGGTCGGCGCAGCCAACGAGGCGCGCGGGCCCAAAAACGCGCTTTTCCGGCCTCCGCGCGGGTCGGCGCGGCCACGAGGCGCGCGGGCCAAAAAACGTGCTTTCCGGCCTCCGCGCGCCCCTGAACCGCCGCCAAAGGGGGGTCGGCGCGGCCAACGAGGCGCGCGGGCCCAAAAACGCGCTTTTCCGGCCTCGCCGCCAAAGGCGGGTCGGCGCGGTCAACGAGGCGCGCGGGCCCACAAACGCGCTTTGGCCAAACAAGGCCACTTGAGGCTCACCCAAGAGCCGCACTCAGGCATGCTTCCAACCAATCGAGGGTGGCTTCCAACCATTCGTGCGGAACCACACTCGGCGCACACTCAGACCCAAACCATCCGAGGCGAGCTCCAAACTACTCGGGGCCGGCGTGCCCTGCCCGCGTCCGCCTCCGGGATCCGCGCAGGACTCACTGCCAAAAATCCTGGCACGGTTGGCACGCTGGCACGCGGCCGCGGGTGGGTGTGCCAAAAATCCTGGCACGGTTGGCACGCTGGCGCGCGGCCGCAGATGGGTGTGCCCCAAGCACCGCGGTGGGTGTGCCAATATCGCCAGGGCGCCCTGATCCGCGCAGCCTCTGCTCTTATTGGGATCGTTGCGGGGTGCTCCCACAGTGGGCCCACAAGGGGTGGAATTTCCACCCCCCTGCGCGCGCACGCCCTGCGCCCGCCCCCCAATTCTCCAAGGCAGCGCGCCCACCGCGGCCCTCTCGCGGGCACTCCGAGGCACTCTGCACTCTCTGGCAATTTTGGCAAGCTGGCAAACGGACTTGGGGGAACTTGCCGGAGAGCCTGGCAAGCTCCGCGAGGCCTGTGAGCTCAACCTCCCTAAAGAGGGCTGCAAGGTCACCCGCTGCTTCTTCCGGAAGGCATTTAAGCATACTCGTACACCAGCCATCAGGCCCTCCCGCCGGCAGACGGCGAGGATTTCATGCTTGGTGAGCGGCGTGGTTTCCTGTGCCGCTTGGTTGGCTCGGGCTTCCAGTTCAGGCCAGACTTGGGAGCCGGTCGTACGGCGGGAGGTCCTCGAACGGTCTTTCCACCACCGTTTCATGCTTGCGAATTGCTCTGAAGACAGGCCTCATGCCACCTTTGAGGGCCTGCTCCAGCCAGCTTTCATATTGCAACGTGCGTTTTCCTGGTGTTCTTGCGTGGCCTCCTGTAGCTGCCTCCTGATCTGCTCGGAGACTTCCTCCATTGCTCCAGGTTACCAACCTCATTGAGGGAAACGGTTGGCTCATCAGATTCGGAATTGTTTTGAAGCAAAGTTTCAAGCCGAATGCGTGGCACTACGCTGCCACTGTTGTCCCTTTGCGCCACGAGGGCCTCCAACTTGGACCACCTGGCTTGGACCACTCCCATCCAAGGCCGTTTTTCCACGCTGGAGACCAGTGGCTTGTGACAGACCTCAACATTCCACCCGCGCCCCGTCACCTTCGTATGAGGGAAGAGGGCAGATTCCACCGAGGCCGTAATCTTCGCAAACTCCTTCGTGGCAGTGTTGTCATCCAGGAGGCAGTGGCCAATGCACCCCACTCCTTTGAGGGTGGCTTTCTTACTGTAAAGTTTTTCTACTACCTGGGAACCCCACCTACCAACCCAAAAGGGTTGATGAGCATGTGTGGATTTGTGACTCATGTTTTACCGACAGCGCCTTTACTGGTTCAAGGAAAAAGAGCGACTTGAAGTTTAGCATGGTAGCGGAGCACACTGTGCATCCGGGACCGAAGCCATGCCTCGTGGCCGTGATGATGGTTTGGGTTGGAACCCTGATGCTGTGGAGCCAATGGAGCTCACAGAACCTACAGAGCCCATGGAACTCACAGAACCCATGGAGCCAATGGAACTCACAGAACCCATGGAGCCGATGGAACCCGCAGAGCCCATGGAAGAAGGGGAACAAGAAGAAGAAATGGAGCCACGAAGAAAGGAGATCAAGATTCACCGTGTTGGCATGGGAAAAGGCTACGGATCTTCAGCAAGCAGTTCAGCTGAAGGAAGTGGAAGTGCACCAAGGTATATGCCTCCTTTCGACAAAGCTTTACCACATACTGACTTCGTATATGCGGGGGGCAGCAACGCAACTGTCTCGAAATTGGAGCAGGGAGCGATGTGGGTATCGTCTCTATCAAAGTTTGCTTTGGGAATACCAACCAGCCACCAAACAACGAGCTCTAACCCTCAGTCAAGCGATTGGGATGTTTCCCAACTTCGATGGGGGCAAGAGCATGGTGGAGCAGATTGGTTCACTGGAAAACCTTGTTCGGGAGTACGAGATCGCTTCAGGAAAGACCTACGATCGAGATTTGTTGATGGGAGTTTTGCTTCGATGTTCACCGAGGGCGATTCGAGACCACCTTACTTTGACAATGCCCGAAGGAACAAACTACATGTCAGTGAAGCAAGCGATTCTTTCATACGAGCAAAGCAGCAAAACTTGGGATTACCAGACGGTGTTGAAGCAAAAGACCTTGCAGAACACAGCGAGCAGTTCGAATGCAGATCAAGGACCAGCACCAATGGAAGTGGATGCAGTGTACGAGAAAGGAGGAGGAAAAGGAAACAAAGGCAACAAAGGAAACAAAGGAGGAAAAGGATCCTACTCGTGGTCAAGCTTTGGAGCAGGATTTCGCCAATGGAGAAAAGGTGGACGAAAAGGAAGCTACAAAGGAGGAAAGAAAGGACGAGGCAAAGGTTTCCACAAAGGAGGAAAGAAAGGCGGAAAGAAAGGTGGAAAGCATGGCAAAGGAGGAAAGAAAGGTGGAGGAAAGAAGTTGGACAGAGATGTTTGCCGATTCTGCAAGCAGCGAGGACATTGGGGAAACGAGTGTCCAAACCGCAATGTTCGAGAAGTGCAGGCGAGCGAGGCCAGCACCGAGGTACCCCACTCGACAGTCGAGTCTGTTACTCCGTCGCAGAGTGCGAGCCAATACAGGATAAGGAGAGTGAGGAACATTGATTTCCATCACATTGCGAACACACCACCTGACGGCACAGAGCACTATGAGCTTAGCGAAGTTTCAGAAGAAGAAGGTGATTGGTTCACCAGAAGGATAGAGGTGCAAGGACCAGAGTGCTACTACATCGGGGATGAGAGTGAGAACAAACAAGATCATGAGAGTGATGAGCTGTATCAATGGTATGAAAACAGCTTGGAAAGAGTTCAAGGAGGATTGGGACCTCCAGGAGGATTGGAACCTCTGAATCAAGGAGGATTGGAACCTCTGAGTCAGGGAGGATCGGAACCTCTCAATGTGCGAATGGTCCAGTTGGACACAAAGCAACATGTGGTGATCTTGGATTCAGGAGCAGATGTGAGTTTGTTACCACGAAGATTGTCGGATGCAGGCGTCGAAGTTTCGACCCCAACCTCTCTGAGGTTGCAAGACGCACAAGGGGGTGCGATGCGAGTTGAAGGTATGCGGCGAGCAGTTTTGCAGTTCAGTAGCTGCAGTGTGACTGAGGACTTTGTGTTGTCGGACACCAATAACATCTTGCTGTCTTTAGGAAGGCTACTCAAAAATGGATGGAAGTTTGTGTCAGTGGGATGCAAACAGCGCCAGGGGGGCGAGACCTGGGGAGAAGAAACCCAGGCGGGGGAACTTGTATCTCCCGATGGTAAGGCACGGGTGCCTGTGGAATACCAGAGGAATAGCTTGAGATTGTACGAGCGTGGGCAATTCACCACGCAGCATGGTTGTTCAACAGGTACCACCTACACTCAGGGACGCAGAGTCCAGCTTTCCAATTGGTCTACGGGAGACCATACCAAGGGCAGATTTTACCCTTCGGAGAGTATGTGTTTGGTCTGGCCAAGCCTGGAGGAGTGAAGAATCGATCCTTGTGGACAGGAGGAATATGGGTTGGAAAGGACGACCGGGACATGGACGTGATTACATCAAAAGATGGGATCTTTACGTCAAGATCTGTGCGGCGCACACAACCAGCGTGGCGCGCACGTGAGACCCTTCAACTTCAGGGTTCTCCTTGGACGAAGAAAGCCCCAAGGCTAGGGCACACCGCGCATGCGGCACCGTTACCGAGAATCATGGAAGAACCAGGCAAAGAGAAAGAAGGAGGAGAAAATGAGCCAGAGCCAGCAGGAGATGAAGCAGGATCTGATGTGGAAAGTTCAAAGCATGACACAATCAGTGATCTATTGCTGAGCAGTGGTCAACCTACACCTCGAAGTTCATCAACGGATTCCAACCAAGGCGGGGGACAAAAGAGAGAAACTGAAGGAGAAGAAAGAGAGGAACCTGCGAAAGCTAGTAAAACAGCAGATGCTGAGGAGCCACCAACGAAGCAACAAAAGACTGCGGAAAGTTCACCTACAAGTGCTGATCCTGGAAGTCCGAAAGGAAGTCTATTTCCACCGTTGTACGCCGGACAGGTAGAAGAACAGGAAGACGAAACAGGATATCATGAAGATGACCTTTGGGAAGAAAGAGTCTGGAAGGAATGCGAAGAGGAATATGAAGCGGATAGTGAAGGAGAAGAAGAAGATGAGGATCGACCACCGAAAGTCAGCGAAGAGGAACTTGAAAGATTGGATGCAGAGGCAGGAAAAGCTGAACTTGACAAACTCGCCAACATGAAGGTTGTGAAGACGATCAAGAAGGAAGAGTGTTCAGAGGAAGGTAAGTTTCTGACACTAAGGACAGTTTTCGATTGGAGAAAGAGAGATGGAGTTTGGAAGCGTAGATGCAGAATTGTGTGTCGGGAATTCCGTGCGGGAGCCCAGAGCACGGAGGAGACTTTTAGTCCTACGTCAGGACACGCAGCAGTGCGAATGATGTTTCTTTTTCATCTCATCTACAATTGGGAGCTTACAGTTCTTGACATTCGTGACGCATTCTTGCAAGTCAAGCAGAAAGCTCTGATGTATGCTGATATCTCACCGTGGATTCGAACACTACTTGGTTTGGATGAAGACCATGTATGGAAAGTGGAGAAGTGTCTGCCAGGGCAAAGATCAGCGGCAGAACAATGGTTTACCCATTTGGTTGAGATTTTGAAGCGTTTGGGATTTGAGCAATTTGTTGGGATACCCTCAATCTTGAAGCACCGAGTGAAGAAGATTGCAGTGTCGATTCATGTCGACGACGAGCTAGTTGCAGGTGCGAAAGGCGAAGGAAGATGGCTGATATGCGAGCTAGAGAAGTTTTTCAAGCTCACAGTTGAGGGACCGTTCCCATCCCACCGGGGATCGGGAGAACAGCTTCATTACCTGAAGAGGACCTATGAGTTCCTTGAAGAAGGAATTTTGGTGACAGTGTCGAAGAAGCACTACGAGAAGCTTAGAGGACTCTACAAGCTGGGGAACCGAAAGCCAAGACAAACCCCAGAGCACCAGCTGATTGGAACAGTGGACAATTCCAAAGAACTGGAGGAGAACGAGTGCAAGAAGTTTCGTTCAGCGTTGGGAACACTGTTGTACATTTCTCAAGACCGATGGGATTTACAGCATGTGACGAAGTGTTTGGCAAGTAAGATGTCGAAGCCAACGGAACAAGCGTTAACCTGTTTGAAACAAGCTTTGCTCTATGTGCAAGGAACAGAGCAACTGGGATTCCTACTGAAGTACACAAAGGTTGGAAACAAGATGATGGATGCGATCTATCAAAGAGAAGAGCAAGAAGAAGAAGACGAAGAAAAGAAAGGAACACACAGTATGGAAGTATTCACGGATGCAGATTGGGCATCAGACCGTGAAGCGAGATGGTCTACATCATCAGTGATTGTGTGTGTGAATGCAGTGCCAGTACTTTCGTATAGCAGGACCCAGAAAGCTACAGCTTTAAGTTCGGCAGAGTCCGAAGTGCTAGCATGCTCAGGAGGAGCATCAGAAGCGATGTTACTGAAGAAGTTGTGGATGTTTCTTGCAGGAAAGTTACTCGTGGAGATCCGGATGGATTCAAGTGCGGGAAGACAATGGATGATGCGAACAGGAGTCGGAGGACTCAAACATATCGATCTGAGAGTATTATGGCTTCAGCGAGGGGTGAAGAACAACAGCTTCAAAGCAAAGCCAGTGCCTACCAAATTAAACATTGCCGACTTGAATACAAAACGCTTAGGAGTATCTCGAAGGAGATTTCTCATGTACCATATTGGAGCCATGGTGTGGAATGGAGAAAGTCATGAGCGTTATGGGAAAGAAGAAGCAATGGAACATGTGGCAGGTGAAGTTTGCCGAAGCCAAGTTCGAGCACTACGTGCAACTTTGTTGAATGAGCGAGGAAGCAAGACGGCTAGAGCGATGTACTTGACAATGATGGTGAATATGATTTCTCAGATTGCAGGACAGCCAGACGATTTTGGAGGACGAGAACGAGAAGAACGAGAATTTGTTTTCATCTATGTGAAGGAAGTGAGTGGATGGATTATTCTTTTCAGTGTGCTACTAGGAGGAATTTTCGCTTTACTCTTGTTCTACATGGTCGAGCAGAAGGTGAACGAAGGACGACAGGAACCACAGGAAGAAGGACCACAGGAACCACAGGAAGAAGGACCACAGGAACCACAGGAAGAAGGACCACAGGAACCGCAGGAAGAAGACCACAGGAACCGCAGGAAGAAGGACCACAGGAACCGCAGGAGGAATTCACTATTCGAAGATTTGTGCAAAAGTATTGTCCGCCCGATGAGGATGATGTTCAACGTACAGCAAGGGCAGTCAATATGTATTTCCGTGATGCACCAGAGGATTCAGCGACAGGCAGTGGTAATGGGATGCCTGGAATCAGTACAGTACCAGCAAGCCAAATCCATGTGAATGACGAAGAGCTTGCAAGGCGATTACAAGAATGGGGAATGGTTAATATCATTCCTATGGCACAGGATGTGGACGAACAGCTACGAGCACAACCCCAGTATGTGTACACGCCTCATGGCAAGAGGTACCACCGACCTACATGTGCAGATGTGCAAAGGTCAGAGAGATTCACTTACAGTGCAGCAGTGCATGCGAGATTGCACTACCGTCCTTGTGGCAATTGCAGGCCCGGGACCATGTGAGTGAATGATGGAATGTTTCACTTTTCCGTACAGTGTGAGCTACAACGAGTACAAGCTTACCTGAGCGAAGTGTTACCCACGAGGAAGCAGTGGGAACAGTTTTCACCGAGTGCAAGGACTCCAATAGGGAGAGCACAACGAGGCCATCGCGCAATACCAGATGAGCCCAACGACATACCTGTACAGTTTCTACAAACCCGTTACTGTAGAGTGATGTTGAGCTTACAGTTCGCACAACATCAAGGCGGGGTGTAAAGTTTTTCTACTACCTGGGAACCCCACCTACCAACCCAAAAGGGTTGATGAGCATGTGTGGATTTGTGACTCATGTTTTACCGACAGCGCCTTTACTGGTTCAAGGAAAAAGAGCGACTTGAAGTTTAGCACTTACAGTACGGGGCTACGTCGTCCTGGACCACCGTTGGGAATGATTGAAGCTGAGGGAGGGAAAGGCTCCCATGAGCGACCTCAATGGTAAAACGAGGGCCGCGTGAGGTTTACATGGAACCTCCTCGAGGAGGGTGACCTTGGTGCAGGCCGCGATATCCCTAGACATGAGGGCGAAGTCAAGGGTGTTACCGGACCCTATAGTGGCCCCTTCCGGGGCAACTATGACGCCTTTGGTTTTCTTCTCAAGGCCACTGTCCTGCACCTCCTCTACATCTTGGTTCCAATCCCCCGTAACAATCCACGGCGTGGTGCACGTCGAGAGCGCAGCCATCAGGGCTGCCACAATGCCGATGTTAGGGGCCGTGTTGATGCAACCTCCCGACTGGAGGTAAATCGAGAAGACTGCAATGTGAATCCCTTGCAAATGGAGTGTGTGGGGGGGTGGAAATTCCTCCCCTTGTGGGCCCACTGTGGGAGCACCCCGCAACGATCCCAATAAGAGAGAGCTGGAACGATAAGCTGCAATCTGGAGGTGTGTTCTGAGTTCGCCGGAGGCTTGGGCACGTGGGTGGCATTTCTTTTCCTTAAGAGCCTCTTGGAGAATGGTTTTTGTAGTGGGAGAGGGCTGGGCCGGCAGGACTGCGGGACGGCGAGAACTGGCTCCGATGCCGCGGCGGTGCCAGAAAATGCTACGGAAGGGTGTGAGGGGGGAAGCTTGGACTGTTACTGGCGGCAGCTGCTGTGTTTTTTTGAACATCGGCATGAAGCGGGAGGAAAGTCGCGGCAAGTCCAATCGGACTTGGTCACCTTGCTCATGAACCAAGGAAGACAAGTCCCAAAGTCCACAGCCACAACTCCAGGCGTTGGCCACTGCCAAACCCTCGATCTGGAGGCACCATGGTTTCAAAATATTTCGAATCCCACACCGAGAAAGCGTTGTATAGTCCGTGGTGGATTGCGTGAAGAATGCACCGTCTGGTAGAGCTTGAACAAACTGCTGAATCCTTGACTGCGACACAGCCGCATTTTTGCTGTCAGTACTTTGCCATACCGACTTCCGAAAGAGTGAAGCCACAGGCCACAGGGTGTGCGACATGCCATTCAATAATTAGAGCGTGTTAATCTTACTATGGACTCCAAAGACAAGCGGCACGAACCTTGTACACAAAACCTTGTAGTCTTAAGCAGATCTCGTCTTACACATTCTCATGATTTATGAGAAAAATGAGCAGAACATCTGAAAACAATATGACAAACAAGTGTGATGCAAAAATGTATGAACAAACGAAAAGGCGAAAAAAAAAATTGATTCGGCTCAGGAAGCAAATTTTCTCGAGGCCTGACCAAATTTTGGCTCCTGTTCCCCAATCCCCATCGCGACCCCCGGCCGCCGGACCAATTGCACAATTCTTCACCAAATTTCAAATTACAATTTTCTTACGTTTTTTCACAATCTTCTCGAGACTTGATCAACATTTGGCTTCCGGCCTTCCCCATCGACTCCGCGGCCCGACCGGACCAATGTCACATGATGTTCACATTACATCTCATGTTGTTAAAGCTACTGTTTTTCAGGTCACTTTTTTCTTTCATGTTTTCTCACAAATATACCATAATTCTGTGGATTCCTGGTTTTCCGACCGACATAGCTGTAGTCTGTAGGGCGACTGTACGTTTGTCAGAGTGAACTGAAGGACGCAATAACGTTTGTGCCAGCGTGTTTCCCGACATGCATGGCCCAACTGATGGAACGCGTGTGACTACAGAGCTGAGCAAAACATGGAGTGCCTGAATGATAAAGCAGTGCTAGCCTGAGTTGAAGAAGTTGAATCGAAGTCACATGATTGGCTTCTCGGATTTCTGCGTGTGGTGTTCTAGATCCCCCTAGCGCGAAGAGAACATGGTGGTCCTGTCAAGGCAGTCAGAGTACAGCCGGCTATGACTTCTCGGGCTCGTTTGGATGCACGGGCAGGACAGCACATGATGACATTTGAAGTTGCCGGCGCCTTCCTGCCTACATCTCAGGCTCGTCCATGTGGCTCCTTATCCTGCCAGTACATGGGAGAAACAAGATTGGTGGTTCCGGCAGTCTTGGTCCGGCTGGTCGTCTCGGGCGTCTTTGTCGCTGTGGTCGTTGTGGTCGTCGTAGTCGTCCTAGTATCTTCGGCATGTACATGATGGTCGTTAACTGTTCTGGGATCTCCACTGGAATAGTTTGCTGATTCACAGCTTATCATCAAACGCTCATGACGCCAAGGTCACAATGAACCACCGTTACATATTCCCGGAGTATTGCTCAGTTTGTGGAGTAAGAAGTCCGAGCTTAAAGGGCCCTTGCCCAAGAGAGTCCGGCGGGCCGCGGAAGGCAGGTTGAGTCCCAGAAATCATCCCATAGTGCCCCTGTAGCCTGCTGCACATCGAGATGTCCGGTACGTTTTCTCTGACCCTAGAAGGCATGCGTGCTTTCATTGATACACAAGCAAGCTTTTGCCTCCCTTGCTGCCCTTCGGCTGTCTTTCTGTCTAAAAAGCCATCGTCGTTCTCTTGCTTTGCTTTTGTCTCTGACAGTCTGTCACGCTCTTCCGAGTCCTGCTTTCTGCAGTCGCGTACACCGGTCTACCTTCAGCTGGTCCGTTGGCGCTTTCAGTTGAGCTTACAAGCTGCAGATAGTAACCGACTATAATCCCATTAGGGTGTGAGCTGAATGCAGAAAATGCAGTGGCAGTGGTTTCGGGAATCCGAACTGACTTTGTTTGGCGATGCTGGGGAACTTCCACGATGCCAACATCACGATCATGCCACGTCTCCACGGCGCCCTCAAACTTGCCTCCCGAAAGGTTAGACATCTGTGCCACCCTCATGCCCTGAAATTGCAGATTTGGCACTTAGGTTGGTACACGTTGAATCTGCACTCCGCACGCCAGCTGGCAGCATTCAATCAGAGCTTGGAAGTTGGTTGATTGGAGGCTGTAATAACCCGCCTAGGCTGCACCAGGAGGTTCTTCGGCCGTCATGCGCCTGTCGTGTAGATCTGCAGGTTGAGCCCAGACCCTGCTCTGCGGGCCTGCCGCGGGCTTGCAGGGTTCTAGCCCTTAGTGCAAGTAGGATCAGAGACAGACCAGCGCTGGTCTGTTCTGGGCCCATGTTGCCGGGCGCCATGCCTATGCCTGCGCAGTCTCCTTGGTGGGCGCGGGCGAATCTCGGGCAGGTCCTGCCTAGCCCAGACCAAGCCCAGATGGGCTGTGGCCTCGTGGCCCTAGACTTGGAGTGCATCCACGACCATGTTCATGGAAGCTACGCCGCATTGGGCTGGCATGAGACAGCTGACCAGTGGTCTTGGAAAGCGCGGTGTCAGATCATCGAGCTCGCGGCTGTGAATCTCATCACGGGAGAGCCTCTACTACTTCGAAGCCGACCGGAGTTCCAGTGGCAGGACGTCAAGTCCCAAGCCACCCGGCTCTTTGCAGAGCACAGCGGCCACAAGGAGATCGTCTGCGACCGGTCGCTCCCGCTTTTTGCCCAGCTCTGGACGACTCAGGTGCTACCCTTCCTGCAGCGGGCTGCTGGCTTCACCGGCAAGGTCGTCTTGATCGCCCACAACGGGGACAAGTTTGACCACTACGTCCTAAACAAGGAGATCGTCCGTTTGGGTCTGGACATGAGCCAGTGCCCGCACCTGGTGTCAGCAGATGCGGTGGCTACTCTGAAGCTTATCCTCTATGGGACATTTCACTTGCAAGAGCGTGTGCTGTGAATGCTGTACTGTGCTTGTTCTTCGCAAGTAGCGTGCATGCCTGTTCATGAACGTAGGTGGTGTCCAGGGCACCCGTGGCAGCCATTGCTCACTATTCATGACCAACACCCAGTGCACTTCGCAATCTGTCCTTGCGTACTCCAGTGCTAGAGGCATGCATCAGCTCACCCACCATGTCATGGTGTGCGCTGTCTGACAGATGGTAGCGGTTCCATCAATGCTTTGCTGTCGCCGTCACGAAACCGACTCAGGAAGAGCAGGTTCCAGAACGAGACCATTCGCCAGATGTACGGCCGGCCTGGACAGCTGTGCCTGAAGCAGATGTACATGGCGCACGTGCCCGAGCAACAGCGCGCGGTGGCCCTCCGGGCGCACCAAGCCATGGACGACGTTCGGATGATGCTGGAGGTGATCCGCTACGGGCCGCACGTGGCAGCTTTGCTGGCGCAGGACATCTCGATGGCAGTCCATGGCATGGAGGCGCCCGTTGCGATCTTCTCCATCTTGCACCGCTTCCAGCACCCAATCCCAAGCCCGCAGACTCCTAAACATCATTCGTCGAACCCCCACACAGGGCGCGCTGCCCTGCAGGAGAGTGGGCCGTTTCAAGTCTCCACTCCCCTGCTCCTCACATGTCCCGCCTCCCTTGCGGCCCCGGAGCCTCTTCAGCCCATCCAGCCCCCACATGGCCCAGCTGCCCAAAACTCCTGGGCCCAGTATGCTCAGAATGCTCAGACCCCACCCCAAGCTCCCCCGCATGCTCGGCCCTGCCTCCGAACGCCTTCTTCCCCAGCTTCCCCGCCGCCCTTTCAGGCTGAGCCCAGTGAGCCCAGTGAGCCCAGTGATCCCGAAGTCCAGAACTTGAGCCCAAGCTCCGACAGCTCTGGCAGCTCGAGCTCCGAGGCAGAGCACATAAAGTCCCCACCGACAAGGCTCCAGAACTCCCAGAACCCCCACAACCCACAGAACCCACAACAGAGCCCACAGAGCCCACAGAGCCCGCAGAATCCGCAGAACCCACAGAGCTCACAAAGCCCACAGAGCCCACGAAACCCACACAGCCCACACAGCCCACAGAGCTCACAGAGCCCACAGAGCCCACAAACCACCCACAAGCAAGCCGACAATCGGCGCAAGGGCAAGGACAAGGGAAAGAGCCGCCGAGAAGGGAGGCGTCTTGGTGGGCTTTTCCTGATGGTTCTGTGGTAGTTGGTCGTAGTGGTAAAATATTGTAAAGATATATTGAAGGCTTTTGCTGTAGGTGTTAAGCCTTCATGGTGAGGTGGAGCGACCCGACATGGTACGGCTGGTGGGGCTTCTACCCCAACGAGACAAGCTATTGGGGCTGGAGTGACAAAGACGGTCAAGCCGAACCATGGCCAGGCACCAGGCGCAACAGGCGCCAGGATCGCCATGCCCGTGCCGAGCGCAGGCACGAGTCCGCAAGGACAGGCCCGGCTCAGTCCGCGCCAGCCGCTGGGCGAGGAGGTCTAGCGTGCCGAGTTTGGGTCTTGCTTTTTCTCGGTGGCAAAATGGAGCGCAACAATCTCATCGATATCTCTAAGCATAAGCCCCCCCGCCCCCGCCCAGCATTCTGCAGCCCAGCCCCAAGGCCACGAACCACAGTGCCGAGATGGGCACGAGAAGTTGGCAGTGAGCTTCAGAAAGTACACGCCGGCCTGCTGCTAGGTGAGACCCAGCATTGAGCTTTGGAGCTTTGCGCGTTCTTCTTCTGGGGGGCATCTAGGGGATCTTGAGTATCTGGGCATCATTGCTTGGTCCACAATCCGTCCTTAAGGGTCCAGAGTCCAGAATTGAGATCCGTCCTCGTCTGCGCCTTCCACGTAGAGCCTAGTAAACAAAGAAGGGTTGCGCTCAGACACTCAGCCAGGACAGGACCAAGCATGCGGCTGGATGCCAACGCATCACGGCCGGGCCTGGTTGGTTCACGGGTCGGCGGTTGACGCGCGGTGAGTGACGCGGCGAAAAACATAGCTCAGGTTTCACGGCCGCTTTGCAGCCCTTGGTTAGATGCTGATGTTTGTGTGAGCTCGCGTGATGCGAGTTGGCCTCAAGTGCCCCAAGAGCCTCAAGAGCCGATCTACGCCTCACTGCAGACACGGAAATGGATGCTTCGCAAAGAACGAATGCTTTCTGGCTTGTTTCTTGCAATGTTTACAGGCCCATCTTCAGTTCGAGTCATGTTGTTTGCTTGCAGGTGCAGCAATAAGCAGAAGCGTGAGTCCACATCGCGTGTAGCTTCGCAGCCTGCACAAGAATTTCAAACATGTACAACATGTATAACTCATGTTGCCGAGGTTATAACTACGCTTGCAGGCGTTTCGAATTGTTGCAACCCTTGCTAGGAGCCTCCCCAATAGACGTCAGCTGCCCATACACATGTCCGGTACGCCCGAACAAATGTCCCGGTACCGCTGCGCTGAGGCGTACCGCCAGCAAATGTCTCGGTACGGGCCCAATCGATACCGCTGTGCTTGGGACGAACCGACTTTGTTTGGCGAGAGCCAGCGCCGCGGGCAAACTTGCAAGACGCCAACATCATGCCACGTCTCCCGATGAAGCCCACATACTTGCCTCCTGAAAGGTTGGACATCTGTACTTGTACCACCCTCATGCCCTGAAATTGCAGATTTGGCACTTAGGTTGGTACACGTTGAATCTGCACTCCGCACGCCAGCTGGCAGCATTCAATCAGAGCTTGGAAGTTGGTTGATTGGAGGCTGTAATAACCCGCCTAGGCTGCACCAGGAGGTTCTTCGGCCGTCATGCGCCTGTCGTGTAGATCTGCAGGTTGAGCCCAGACCCTGCTCTGCGGGCCTGCCGCGGGCTTGCAGGGTTCTAGCCCTTAGTGCAAGTAGGATCAGAGACAGACCAGCGCTGGTCTGTTCTGGGCCCATGTTGCCGGGCGCCATGCCTATGCCTGCGCAGTCTCCTTGGTGGGCGCGGGCGAATCTCGGGCAGGTCCTGCCTAGCCCAGACCAAGCCCAGATGGGCTGTGGCCTCGTGGCCCTAGACTTGGAGTGCATCCACGACCATGTTCATGGAAGCTACGCCACATTGGGCTGGCATGAGACAGCTGACCATTGGTCTTGGAAAGCGCGGTGTCAGATCATCGAGCTCGCGGCTGTGAATCTCATCACGGGAGAGCCTCTACTACTTCGAAGCCGACCGGAGTTCCAGTGGCAGGACGTCAAGTCCCAAGCCACCCGGCTCTTTGCAGAGCACAGCGGCCACAAGGAGATCGTCTGCGACCGGTCGCTCCCGCTTTTTGCCCAGCTCTGGACGACTCAGGTGCTACCCTTCCTGCAGCGGGCTGCTGGCTTCACCGGCAAGGTCGTCTTGATCGCCCACAACGGGGACAAGTTTGACCACTACGTCCTAAACAAGGAGATCGTCCGTTTGGGTCTGGACATGAGCCAGTGCCCGCACCTGGTGTCAGCAGATGCGGTGGCTACTCTGAAGCTTATCCTTTATGGGACATTTCACTTGCAAGAGCGCATGCTGTGAATGCCGTACTGTGCTTGTTCTTCGCAAGTAGCGTGCATGCCTGTTCATGAACGTAGGTGGTGTCCAGGGCACCCGTGGCAGCCATTGCTCACTATTCATGACCAACACCCAGTGCACTTCGCAATCTGTCCTTGCGTACTCCAGTGCTAGAGGCATGCATCAGCTCACCCACCATGTCATGGTGTGCGCTGTCTGACAGATGGTAGCGGTTCCATCAATGCTTTGCTGTCGCCGTCACGAAACCGACTCAGGAAGAGCAGGTTCCAGAACGAGACCATTCGCCAGATGTACGGCCGGCCTGGACAGCTGTGCCTGAAGCAGATGTACATGGCCCACGTGCCCGAGCAACAGCGCGCGGTGGCCCTCCGGGCGCACCAAGCCATGGACGACGTTCGGATGATGCTGGAGGTGATCCGCTACGGGCCGCACGTGGCAGCTTTGCTGGCGCAGGACATCTCGATGGCAGTCCATGGCATGGAGGCGCCCGTTGCGATCTTCTCCATCTTGCACCGCTTCCAGCACCCAATCCCAAGCGCGCAGACTCCTAAACATCATTCGTCGAACCCCCACACAGGGCGCGCTGCCCTGCAGGAGAGTGGGCCGTTTCAAGTCTCCACTCCCCTGCTCCTCACATGTCCCGCCTCCCTTGCGGCCCCGGAGCCTCTTCAGCCCATCCAGCCCCCACATGGCCCAGCTGCCCAAAACTCCTGGGCCCAGTATGCTCAGAATGCTCAGACCCCACCCCAAGCTCCCCCGCATGCTCGGCCCTGCCTCCGAACGCCTTCTTCCCCAGCTTCCCCGCCGCCCTTTCAGGCTGAGCCCAGTGAGCCCAGTGAGCCCAGTGATCCCGAAGTCCAGAACTTGAGCCCAAGCTCCGACAGCTCTGGCAGCTCGAGCTCCGAGGCAGAGCACATAAAGTCCCCACCGACAAGGCTCCAGAACTCCCAGAACCCCCACAACCCACAGAACCCACAACAGAGCCCACAGAGCCCACAGAGCCCGCAGAATCCGCAGAACCCACAGAGCTCACAAAGCCCACAGAGCCCACGAAACCCACACAGCCCACACAGCCCACAGAGCTCACAGAGCCCACAGAGCCCACAAACCACCCACAAGCAAGCCGACAATCGGCGCAAGGGCAAGGACAAGGGAAAGAGCCGCCGAGAAGGGAGGCGTCTTGGTGGGCTTTTCCTGATGGTTCTGTGGTAGTTGGTCGTAGTGGTAAAATATTGTAAAGATATATTGAAGGCTTTTGCTGTAGGTGTTAAGCCTTCATGGTGAGGTGGAGCGACCCGACATGGTACGGCTGGTGGGGCTTCTACCCCAACGAGACAAGCTATTGGGGCTGGAGTGACAAAGACAAAGACGGTCAAGCCGAGCCATGGCCAGGCACCAGGCGCAACAGGCGCCAGGATCGCCATGCCCGTGCCGAGCGCAGGCACGACGAGTCCGCAAGGACAGGCCCGGCTCAGTCTGCGCCAGCCGCTGGGCGAGGCTAGCATACCTGGGTCTTGCTTTTTATCGATGGCGAAAGGAGTGCGATATCTCAAATGCATAAGCCCCCCGCCCAGCATTCTGCAGCCCAGCCCCAAGGCCACGAACCACAGTGCCGAGATGGGCACGAGAAGTTGGCAGTGAGCTTCAGCAAGTACACGCCGGCCTGCTGCTAGGTGAGACCCAGCATTGAGCTTTGGAGCTTTGCGCGTTCTTCTTCTGGGGGGCATCTAGGGGATCTTGAGTATCTGGGCATCATTGCTTGGTCCACAATCCGTCCTTAAGGGTCCAGAGTCCAGAATTGAGATCCGTCCTCGTCTGCGCCTTCCACGTAGATTCTAGTAAACAAAGAAGGGTTGCGCTCAGACACTCAGCCAGGACAGGACCAAGCATGCGGCTGGATGCCAACGCATCACGGCCGGGCCTGGTTGTTTCACGGGTCGGCGGTTGACGCGCGGTGAGTGACGCGGCGAAAAACATAGCTCAGGTTTCACGGCCGCTTTGCAACCCTTGGATAGATGCTGATGTTTGTGTGAGCTCGCGTGATGCGAGTTGGCCTCAAGTGCCCCAAGAGCCTCAAGAGCCGATCTAAGCCTCACGAGGCTGCATGCAGACTTACGACAGCGTACTGTGCTACATTGCTACATTCCTGCGCGGCCCAAAAGAGCCGGTCGTTTACTTTTTTTTGCGCTTGCGCAGCTCATTTGCAGTTTGCAACGCCAATGCCCACATCTCCCTCCTGAGGTGTGCGCTCCGAAGGCCCTGCATGCTGCCCGAGGCCTCTGCTCAGGATCCTTCAGGATGCTAGTGTTTGATGGGTCGGCATGATTTGGGGATCTGCAACGGACGTGCAGCCTCATGCAGCCTCGGCATCTGTTCGTCATAGGTTCTGTTTCTCGGAGCAAGAAGCGCATGTGCATGCGGCCGGAGTGATTCCTGAAGCAATGTAGAATAATGTAGATGTAGAGTAGTGCTGAGCAGTGTCGTTCCTTGCCTCGAGGTGCTTCAACTCCTCGCATTGCCAGGGCCAGCAGTAAGATGGACAGACACAGCTCCGACCGCGATGCGTGTCAAAAGTCTGGTCGATGCCTAAAGCCTGGGTCGTGTTCGTCCCATGCAAGTTTTCAGCTTCCCTAACCGTCAGACGTGGAGATGTCGAGTTCGCGCAGCTCAGTTCAGGCCACCGTGAATTGTGGTGTGGGAATCGTTTTTGTAATGCAACCACATGGGGCTTTGTATTGATCCAAACAGTCCAGAAGCCTACAAGAAATGCTTCAAGAGAACTACCCAACATAGTATCCAGGTCAGCTTGGCATCCATCCCATTCTGGAACTACTACAGTCCGGCTATCTTGAAGGTTCATGGGTGGTTATAAGCGAGGAGAAAAGTGGGGTAACTACAACTATAACCGGTTATAGCACTTAGGGTACCTAAAACCCTACGTATAGCTACCAGAGAACCTGCATCCCGAAGTTGCTTTCTTGGAACGACGTTGAGTTCTTAAGCAGATGTTGGATTTCCGCCGCCCTGCCAGTTTGGTGAAGTTTGGGTTCCAGCACATCCGGCAGCAAACTCTTGAAACAGAAGGCACGGTCCGGTTTCGAGCTGAGAGCAGATTCCAGCAAGCACTTTCTCTAGATGGGTAGCCAGGCCGCTCCTAAGCACAGCACTTCTCTTCAGTTTGCCGCCGCGCATTCCGCCATGAGCTGGAAAGTGGGATGGGGCGAGCCGATGAGTGGCGAACAGGCCATCGCCTCTGTGTGCCACCGCCGGTTGGATCCTTTGAGCTTGGTTCAGCTGCAGGAAGTGCTGACATACCGATGGCAGTCCGCTCACGAGCATCACGAGCCCAGGCAGCTCCCGCGCCTAGGCCACGCAGGCGGTCATGCTGGTAGCCTCCCTAGCCTCCCAGGCTACCCTCGCCATCGGCTCAACGTCGAAAGTTCGAGCCCTGCTCCAAACAGACCAGGGCCGGCGGCGCTCGAGTCCCCCAGCGCCCCCAGCGCTCCCAGTGCCCCCCGCGCGCCCTACGCTCACCACGCCCGCACGCGCCTGCCCACCATGGGGCCGTCCCCAACAACGGCGTCCTCACGGGGCCTCCCCGAGCTCCGCCACGAGCCTGGCGCATCACCCGCGGCTGCCCTTCGGGCTGCGGCCTCCGTCCCCGACTTTGCAAAGTCCGGCGGCTTCCATCGAGAGAGACGGAGTGATAGAGGCTCCATCCTCCGCTGAGCAGACATGGCCGATTTTAGTGAGGGGGTTGCGCAGCCAAGTCTCACTCCCACACAACACGTGTTGCGACCCTTAGGTAGACATCTTAGATAATTCTTAGCTGACTTCGTTGGATCTAGACTACTCTTTCAGGAGAGTAGCAGCACTGCAAAACCTGAGTTTCCCATCCGTGCTTCGACCAAACACTCCAGAATCAGGTACTTGTACGCCCTCGAGCCTTGCTTCCGTGTTCCAGCCCTCGCCTGGCGACAGGGCCGCGGTTGTAACTCTGGTTATCACACTACTATCACACTGGTATTTGCACTTATGAGGCGTCGGGAGTTCATCATGCAAGGTTCCGAGCATTCACCGTTGGCTTCTTGTCAACATACATGCCCAGTGCAAGCCGTCATAGTCTCGGAGACAGGCATATGACTGGCAGGTGCCGTCTCTTTGCCAGGAAGTTCTTGCATCTTGCGCTTGGCTGATGGCTCAAGAGGATCATAGCGTCTACGGATGTGCATGATGCTAGATGTGGCAAACCTCATTCCAAACCCCAGAGGCTCAACCACCACACGGATGAGACCCAAAACCCAAAACCCAAAACCCAAAACCCAAAACCCAAAACCCAAAACCCTAAACCCTCAACACTCTACCCTCAACCCTACACCCTAAACCTAAACCCTAACCCCTAAGCCCCAACCCCTAAGCCCTAACCCCTAAGCCCTAACCCCTAAGCCCTAACCCCTAACCCTCCCCAAATCCCTGTAAGCCCCATGCGACTTGGGTCGCCTGGCCATGTTTGGCGACGAGGAAGGGCTTTTCGGTGGAAAGGGTCTTCCTATTGGGGGGTTTACGAAAGTAGGGTTTAGGGTTTAGATGGGTTTAGGGTTCTATTTGGGGTACAAAAGACCTTAGTTTGGGATACACCCATTTAAGGCAAGAGACTGACGCCTATCCTTCAAGAAGTGGTCCTGCATCCATTCGTCAACTGGTTGAAGAAGGAGCAGAGGAGTGTCAAGTGCGAACCCAACCGAGGAGTCAGTACAATACGACATACAAAAATGAACGACGAAACATGGAGAAAACGAACAAGACAAACTCCTTCTTTGGCGCAGGAAGCGTAGGTTCTGAGAAGGCTGTTGCAGAGGTAGCGGTCAGGTGAGGAGTGCAGGGACTGCATTGCAGATTCGTTGCGGACATGTGCGGATGCACCCCGTCGGTGAAGAACCTGCAGACAAACGGACACGCGTGAAGACAATTGAAGACACTTGGAGCCAACCCTAGCGGCTGTCCGAGCGCCAGTATCTCCCGTCCAAGCCGCTTGCTTGGCACGGGACGTCTAGGTGCTGAGAATGCTGTTGCAGATTCGTTGGCATGCGGTAGGGTGCGGATGCACTCCATCGCTGAAGAACCTGCAGACAAACGGACACGCGTGAAGACAATTGAAGACACTTGGAGCCAACCCTAGCGGCTGTCCAAGCGCCAGTATCTCCCGTCCAAGCCGCTTGCTTGGCACGGGACGTCTAGGTGCTGAGAAGGATATTGCAGATTCGTTGGCATGCGGTAGGGTGCGGATGCACTCCATCGCTGAAGAACCTGCAGACAAGTGGACACGCGATGACACGCGTGAAGACAATTGAAGACACTTGGAGCCAAAGCTAGCGGGTGTCCAAGCGCCAGTATCTCCCGTCCAAACCGCTTGCTTGGCACGGGACGTCTAGGTGCTGAGAAGGATATTGCAGATTCGTTGGCATGCGGTAGGGTGCGGATGCACTCCATCGCTGAAGAACCTGCAGACAAACGGACACGCGTGAAGACAAGTGAAGACACCTGGAGCCAACGCTAGCGGCTGTCCAAGCGCCAGTATCTCCCGTCTAAGCCGTTTGCTTGGCACGGGACGTCTATGCGCTGAGAAGGATATTGCAGATTCGTTGGCATGCGGTAGGGTGCGGATGCACTCCATCGCTGAAGAACCTGCAGACAAAACGGACACGCGTGAAGACAAGTGAAGAAACGTGGAGCCAACCCTAGCGGCTGTCCAAGCGCCAGTATCTCCCGTCCAAGCCGCTTGCTTGGCACGGGACGTCTAGGTGCTGAGAAGGATATTGCGGATTCGTTGGCATGAGGTAGGGTGCGGATGCACTCCATCGCTGAAGAACCTGCAGACAAGTGGACACGCGATGACACGCGTGAAGACAATTGAAGACACTTGGAGCCAAAGCCAGCGGGTGTCCAAGCGCCAGTATCTCCCGTCCAAACCGCTTGCTTGGCACGGGACGTCTAGGTGCTGAGAAGGATACTGCAGATTCGTTGGCATGCGGTAGGGTGTGGATGCACTCCATCGCTGAAGAACCTGCAGACAAACGGACACGCGTGAAGACAATTGAAGACACTTGGAGCCAACCCTAGCGGCTGTCCAAGCGCCAGTATCTCCCGTCCAAGCCGCTTGCTTGGCACGGGACGTCTAGGTGCTGAGAAGGATATTGCAGATTCGTTGGCATGCGGTAGGGTGCGGATGAACTCCATCGCTGAAGAACCTGCAGACAAACGGACACGCGTGAAGCCAAGTGAAGACACCTGGAGCCAACGCTAGCGGCTGTCCAAGCGCCAGTATCTCCCGTCTAAGCCGCTTGCTTGGCACGGGACGTCTAGGTGCTGAGAAGGATATTGCAGATTCGTTGGCATGCGGTAGGGTGCGGATGCACTCCATCGCTGAAGAACCTGCAGACAAACGGACACGCGTGAAGACAAGTGAAGACACCTGGAGCCAACGCTAGCGGCTGTCCAAGCGCCAGTATCTCCCGTCCAAGCCGCTTGCTTCGGCGCGGGACGTCTATCTGCCAGTGTGCATCACAGGTAAGTCGGGCATGCAGCACGCCAGCGGCACATGCAGTTCGAAGAAGCTTCGGGCACTGCAACTGAAGATGGACAGCAACATGCTAATGTCCTAACGTCCCAAGCCCCCAAGCCCCAACTTCTCAACCCCAACTGCTGGTATCGTCCAACCCTCGGCAGGACGACCGCCGCCGCTTTCTGGAGGCCTCAGCTCCTAGAAGCTTCAGTGGCGCTTGCATGTCCCAACATGGGGCCCCAAATACAGAGTAGTCCCAATGGCAAAAGGCCTCCCGGCCCCCCGAAAAACATCAAACCCTAAACCCTAAACCCTAAACCCTAAACCCAAACACCCTAAACCCCAACACCCTAAACCCCAAAACCCTAAACCCTAAACCCTAAACCCCCTCCATGATTCTGCCTTTTTCCCCCCGAAAAGGAGCTCCCCCTGAGGGCTGCGGCTCGGCCGCGGCGGGCTGGGCCCAGCCCCAAGCCAAAGGCCCAAGAGAAAGGGTTTAGGGTTCAGGGTTCAGGGTTCAGGTTTAGGGTTTAGGGTTTAGGGTTTAGGGTTCAGGGTTTAGGGTTTAGGGTTTAGGGGGTGTCTCGTGCTTCTTTTCTTGCTTCTTTCCTTTCAACAGAAGGTTCTAGGGCCGAGGGTTATAATTGGTTGCATTGGTTAGTTTTAACTTCATTCCGCGAATGCTGTTGGAAGTCGCTGCCTCCGCGCTAGTTGTTGTAATTGCAAATTCTGGCTATGCACGGCTACGTGTTGTTGGTGCATGTCCTTTTCACCACATCTCCGCCTCTCACCGTCCTGAGGACTGCCTCTAGGCATCCGCTCGGTCCCCTCTGCAAGAGTTTGGGGGTTTAGGGTTTAGGGTTTAGGGTTTAGGGTTTAGGGTGTAGGTTTAGAGTTTTGTAAAGCCCCCCAAATGCCATCGAAGCTCCTGCCTCACCCAGGGCCGATCAGACAGTGCCCCAAGGTAGCCTCGATGCCCGTGGATGGGCACAACCCTAAACCCTAAACCCTAAACCCTAAACCCTAAACCCTAAACCCTAAACCCTAAACCCTAAACCCTAAACCCTAAACCCTAAACCCTAAACCCTAAACCCTAAAGCCTAAGCCCTAAACCCTGGGTTCGGACAGCCGATGTCTCAAGACATCCTTAGTCATAGGAGTCCTTGCAGAGCCCTTGAACCGGGTTCTAGATGGCAATTTCCCTATGTGGGACACCAAACCCCAAACCCCAAACCCCGAACCCCGAACCCCAAACCCCAAACCCCAAACCCCAAACCCCAAACCCCAAACCCCAAACCCTAAACCCTAAACCCTAAACCCGAAACCCGAAACCCGAAACCCGAAACCCTAAGCTCAGCCAGGCGGCGGCATGGCATCATAGCCTTGAGGACTTTTGTGGGGCATTTTGGGGCAACCAGAGTGCGCGTCGTAGAGATTGGGGTTTAGGGTTTGGGGTTTAGGGTGTAGGGTTTAGGGTTTAGGGTTTGGGGTTTAGGGTTTAGGGTTTACGGTTCAGGGTTCGGGGTTCGGGGTTTGGGATTTAGGGTTTGGGTCTAGGGTTTAGGGTTTCGGAGTTTAGGGTGTGGGCTTTGGGGTTTAGAGTTTTCGGGTCTAGGGTTTGGGGTTTAGGGCACATTTTTGCATCCTGTCTCGGGAGTGCAGCCACGCACGAGTTGCGGCTCCAACATGTCTCGACTTGCTGACAGGAGCATGACGTCCAGAAGATCATTCAGGCGACTGGCTTAGCATTCATACAAGACGCAGCCTACGGAACTTAAGAGAGCATGCAGGCTTCGCTGGACCCTGGATGCCACGATGCCCTACAACCCTAAAGCCCTGAACCCTAAACCCTTAAACCCTTAACCCTTAAACCCGAAACCCTAAACCCTAAACCCTAAACCCTAGACCCTAGAACCTAAGCCCTACAAACCCCTAAACCCCACACCCCAGGGGGCAAAATGTCAGGATCTGCCTGCCGATGCTGCAGCCCGGCGGAGACGAGCTCCTGCACGGCCGGAGGCCGCGGCTTTTTTTGTCAGGCGACAAGGCGGTTTAGGGTTTCGGGCCCAAGGCCCCTAAACCCCTAAACCCCTGAACCCTGAACCCTCAACCCTCAACCCTAAACCCTCAACCCTCAACCCTGAACCCTAAACCCTAAACCCTGAGCCCTGAGCCCTAAACCCTAAACCCTCAACCCCAAGCCTTAAACCCTAGCCGAAGAAAGTCGCAGGTCTTCGGGGTTCTAAAGGAAGGTTTTGGGGCCTAGGGCTGACTTCGGGCCCCGAGTCGCCATTGATAGAACAGGGTTTAGGGCTTAGGTTTAGGGTTTAGGGTTTCGGGTTTAGGGTTTAGGGTTGAGGGTTTAGGGTGTTTCAATGAGTGGGCGCGCTGGTGCTGAAAGCACCCAGGCGCGCGCCCCGACCTGCATGAGCCCTCCCCTGCTGGCGCTCCACCCTCGCCTTAACCTCTACGGGTTTAGGGTTCTTTTTGAATTCTGATCGTGCTTTCGTTATTTTTCTCTTGTCTACTGGTTGGGTTCAGAAGCTCGGCATCGATGCAGATCAATTACCCTGACGTTCGCAGCCCCTTGGCGTTGCAAGGGATGATGTCCATCATTCAAGGGCTTCTGGGAGGGCCAAAAGGCCAGAGGTTTGGGATTGGGGTTGGCTGCCGCCTTCGGCCTTGGCGATGCTACGTCCTGGGCGGGGATTTGGAAAACTTGCTTGGAAGGGCGTGAAGTCAGAGGTTTGGGATGGGGGGTTGCTGCCGCGTTTTTGCCTGCTGATGCTGTATCTGGAAAGCCCCTTGGCGTTGTAAGGGATGATGTCCATCATTCGAGGGCTTGTGGGAGGGCCAAGAAGTCAAAGGCTCGGGACTGGGGCTGGCTGCCGCCTTCGCCCTTGGCGATGCTGCGTCCTTGTTGGGGACTTGAAACTTGCTCGGAAGGGCCTGAAGGTCAAAGGGTTGGAATGGGGGGTTGCTGCTGCCTTCGCCTCGCTGATGCTGCATCTGGAAGGCCTTGTGTGGGAGGCGTGGTGGCTTTGTGATGCTTTCTGAAAGTGCCAAAAAGGCAAAGGTTTGGGATTGGGGCTGGCTGCGGCGATGCTGCATCCTGGTGGGGATCTGGATAACTTGCCTGAAGGGTCTGCCCAGACAGAGTGGGCATTCCCAGGCCGGGGCCTCAGCGGGCTCCCAGGCACGGCCTCCCAATCAGCGCCCTCGCAAGCGGCGTTTCAGGCTGGCCTCCCAGCTTCCAGGAAGGGGGCCTCCCACGTCCGGACGTTCCTCTGGGAGAGGCCCAGGGAGACCTCGCAAAAAGAGGTCGCCATGTCTTACCCGAAAGTTTGGGGTATCTCATTCTAGGGTGACCTGACGGGTTTCTCGCCAGCGACCTGCGGGTCCACTGCGCAGCTGGTGGAGCTCCGTCGCCCGCCGGAGGGCTTCTGGCTCCGGAGCTGCCTCGCCTGCCGGCTTCGGCGCGTTCGCCCTACTCGACAGCCCCGGGCTCACTCAGTTTAGGGCTTAGGGTTTAGGGGCTCCGGGTTTGGCCCGGGTTCCTCAAACCTGAAGCCTCAACTCAACCCTAAACCCTAAACCCGAAACACCAAACCCTCAACCATCAACCCTCAACCCTCAACCCTCAACCCTCAACCCTCAACCCTCAACCCTAAACCCTCAACCCTCAACCCTCAACCCTAAACCCCAAACATCTGAAACCTTGAGCCCGATGCCGAACATGCAGGCGAATCCTCGAGAGGAGTTCCAGGCCTGCTTCGCGCAGTGCTGGTTACAGACTTTTGAGGTTTAGGGCTTGCCCTAAAACCTTAACCCCAAACCCCAAACCCCAAACCCTAAACCCTAAAGCCTAAAACCTAAACCCTAAACCCTAAACCCTAAACCCTAAACCCTAAACCCTAAACCCTAAAGCCTAAACCCTAAACCCTAAACCCTAAACCCTAAACCCTAAACCCTAAACCCTAAACCCTAAACCCTAAGCCCTAAGCCCTAAGCCCTAAACCCTAAACCCTAAACCCTAAACCCTAAACCCTAAACCCTACACCCTAAACCCTAAACAAACCCGGGCTTCCGTGAAGCAAGGTGAAGGGACCTACACGCCGGACTCTACCTGAATGGTTTTAGGGTTTTAGGGTTTTAGGGTTTTCGGGTTTTAGGGTTTAGGGTTTTAGGGTTTAGGTTTATGGATCAGTAGGGTTCTATGTAGCTTCAAATTTGGGTTAGAACCCTGAGCCCCACGCCCTATTATGGCTTCCCATGCACAGGGGGCTAGCCTGAGAGCTAGAGGCACTGTAAGGCACAAACCAAACCCTAAACCCTGTGAACCAAAAACTGCATAATCCCTACGCCCTTGAAACGAAAGCTGCCTTAGGTGCTTCGGGTTCAAATCCCATAAACCCTGGAATTCCCCTTAACCCTCCCTTAAACCCCCCTCAAACCCCCGCCCCAATACCCTCCCTGAAACCCCCCCCTGCTACTTTTCTGAAACCCCCTTGAAACCCCCTTAAACCCCCCCAAACCCCCCCAAACCCCCTTAAACCCCCCCAAACCCCCTTCAACCCCCCCTAAGCCCCCCCCTTCCACGCAAGGCCAAGCTTGCAGCCTTCCGTCGCCAGCTGTCGTCCCTGAGAAGACGGGAGTCACCAGTCGGGGGTCCTTGAGACTCAGGGTTCGTTCAGGGTTCAGGGTTTAGGGTTTAGGGTTCAGGGTTTGGGGTTTAGGGTTTGGGGTTTAGGGTTTAGGGTTTAGGGTTTAGGGTTTGGGGTTTAGGGTTTTTAGGGTTTAAGGTTGAGGCATCTTGTGGGAGGCTCAAGGATGCTGGGGCAGAACCCGGCAGTCCGCCAGACCACCTGGATAAGTCAGCACCTGCACCAAACATCCTTAGAGCCTAAGAGCCTAAGATCTGAAAGCCTTAAATTCTGGTGGTTCTCTCATTGAGCCGAAGATCGAGTGGCGGAGGCGTCTCTTTGGTGTGGAAGGCTGGATCACAGCTGGGCATGCCTTCTTTGAGTCGAGGTGAGCGCTGTGAAGAAGCACGAACCAACGGAGTTGCTGAGCCATATCCCTGCACCACGAACCCTGAATCTAGATCCTCGCAGATATCACTCAGCTTTGCAATCTGCAACTTTTGCACATCAGATCAGATCGCCCCCAAGGTGGAACGGCGACGCGAACGCCTGGCCTTGATGATGGAGGAGGCTTTTCGCATGGATGGCGGCGCTACGCGAGGATTTTTGCCCCGAAGCCCTCATTTCGGGGGGTGGGGGGGGGGGGAGGGCTTAGAAACCCCGACCTTCAGCCTTCCTCCAGCCCGAGCCAGTGTCTGTGAGGCGGCAGGTATGCTGTATGACGTTCGGCAGGGCCGCCTGGCTGTCCGAAGCTTAGCATTCCCATCGCCCCCATTGCTAGCTTGCTTCCGAAATTTTGACTTCTGAATATTTATCAATCTGAACAAGACCTGCCCTAGAAACCGGCTGCCTGCGTTGCTGCAGACGGGCTTTAATTGCTCCTTCCCGCTGTCTTTTGGCGCAAGGTTTGTTCATGTGTTTGCATCGATACTCCGCCAGTTTTGTGATTTAGTGGCGGTCCTGTGCTTTGCTAGTATGCGGGCTCGTCAAGCGATCCGATGTACATTCTGCTGCATGATGTAGTCGACTGGTTGGATAAGAACATTGACGAAGGATTGCAGGCAAGTTGCGCGGACTGAAGCGCAAGTGCCAGCAGTAAACCTCCTCAGAGTTCGCAGTCTTGCCGCAGACAGCCACCGCCTCAATCTGAAGAGTGGCACGAAACCTCTTCGGAGCGGACTTGTGTCCCAGATTCCACATGGTTCGGTGATGTTCGGGGATGGTACAACAAGGCATCTCAGAGCCAAGCGGAGTCTCTGCTGCTGGTTTTGAACGGTCTTTTGAAGGACATGAAGTTTTGGAAGAGTGAGGTCAGTGACATGGCGAGACTTCGAGTTGCCGACTACGGTTGCTCGCAAGGCAAGAGCTCGTTGCCGATCGTCTCTGCATTGATTGCAGCAGCCGAGAAAACTCCCATAGACTTTTATTTCACGGACCTCCCTCAGAATGATTGAGATTCGGCAAAGTTGGTGCTGCAATCCCTGTTGAACCGACAGAGCCAGCTTCCAATCCCCAGCTCTCCTACAGCTTCTACGAGCAAGTGCTCCCATCGAACTCCGTCGACCTCGGATATTCAGGTACTGCAATGCATTGGGTTTCCCATGCACCCAAGGGTTCTGGCTTCTTTAACGGGGGCGACCTCCATTTTCGCAAGCTGGCGCGGAGCAATCCAATGCGCCTGGAGTGGGAGAATCTTGCAGCCAAGGACTGGGAGAGCAATCTGAGATCTCGCAGTAAGGAGCTTGTCTCGGGTGGTTCTTTGCATCTTGTGGTTCCCGTCTTTGATGCTGAATCATGCCCAAGCTCCACGTACCAAAAGCTTGCCGACGTGATGATGGAGACTTTGCAAACCCTTTTGCGTCGTGGTGAGATCTCGCAGAGAGAGGCGGATGCCTTTGTAATGCCAGTCTTCCTGCGGTCGCGCGAAGACTTCGAGGCTCCGTTCCAGGGAGGAGCATTCGAGGGGCTTGTGCTGGAGAGCTTCTCGACCCATGTTCTCCCGTGTCCTTACTGGCAAACATCCAGGCACGATCCCGAAAGGTTTGCAGACTCGCAGCGTGAGAGCGTGGAGCTACAACAGCTGGATCTCCAAACTTGCCGCCGTCAGCCATCAGGCAGACACCATCGTCGAAAAGCTTTACAGGGCCATCAGCGAGGGCATCATGAGAAATCCTGAGGATTTTCGCAGGGACTACGTGCAGGCGTACATGACGATCCGCAAGCTGTAAGTAAGATGATCCGGAGTTAGCTTTTGACCTGCTGGAGGCCGAAGTAGTTGGCTTCTGGCCTTCGGCCCAATTGATGACTTTCACGGGCCTGCCTGAAGGGACACCGTTTTTCTTGCGAATATCTTTATTTGGTAGCCATTTGGTAGCCATTGTCGTGGGGCGTGCGGTGTAGTTAGAAACATCACTGCCTCCATCCGCGCGTCCCCTGAGCTCTGAGCTGCAGGCTGCACAAGCGGACAAGGAAAAAAAGTTCCACAGCGTGGCGCGGACTGTGCAACCAGGTTTAGCAATCCCCCCGGATCAGATGCCGGGAGGAGTTCCCTTGGGTTTGAGGGTGCAGAGTAGGCGTTTTCTGCAACAGGAGCAGTTTGACAGCCACAAACACAACAGCATTTGTTTGTTACTTAGCGCATCTCAACAAAAAAATCACCCCACCACGCACCGGGATCTGGTGACTCTACAAAATGTCTTATCCGATGTCGTTCGGGCCTGCGCATCTGTGTTCCGCCTGCTCAAAGTGCTGCCCCTCAGCTTTTGCTCTTTTGTGGGGGGTCCCTCCTGGAAGAACCGACAGAATGAGGCATGATGAAATGACCTAAGCCCTAAAGATCTACGAGCAGGGACTAATCAGGGACCACGACGATTAAGGGACGATTCAGGGGATACTCGGGCCTTTTGGGCCACTAATCCTTCCAAGCGCTTCCCCACAGGAACCTGCGCAGGCTTGGATGCTTTCGGATCACAGCCCAGGCCGGTGGTGTAGGGTTTAGGGTTAGGGTTTAGGGTTTAGGGTTTAGGGTTTAGGGTTTAGGGTTTAGGGTTTAGGGTTTAGGGTTTAGGGTTTAGGGTTTAGGGTTTAGGATTAGGGTTTAGGGTTTGGGGTAGGCCCCTGTCAAGCTGAGGCGCTTGGATTAGAGCCAGATGGTGCTGATGCACAATAAACCATATACGCATATATGTATGTTATCGAGACTGTATACTTTTGTATACATGCGCAAAGTCTTTTTGCCCTCCATCTGTAAGACATGCTGGTCCCTGTGGGGGAGCTACCAGAGGTCAGGGTCATGTGAGGGTTTGGGGTACCCGCCGCATCTGACCCCCATCCCCTACGGTCACGACTTACAATACTACTTCTACCCGCCGCATTCGCACAAGCAGCAAATTTCTTCCTCACCTGCCTGTGCCAGACGCAGCTGCCATAGGTTCGACACCGGCGAGGAGCCCGTACGCTGCAACAGCCCTGCCCGAGTCAAGCCCGAAAGCCCGAAAGCCCGAAAGCCCGAAAGCCCGAAAGCCCGAAAGCCCGAAAGCCCGAAAGCCCGAAAGCCCGAAAGCCCGAAAGCCCGAAAGCCCGAAAGCCCGAAAGCCCCAAGACCCCAAAGCCCAATCCCACATCCCACATCTAGCCCCTCCAAATCTCTGAAATCTTCCGCGGGTTCGGGGGGGGATCCTCGCACTTTGCAGCGCGTGTTCTTAAGCCCTAAGCCTCTGCCAGCATGAGGATGTCCAGCCTGGCGGCTCTCGGCCCCAAGCGCGGGAGCATGGTTGCCTCGGCCCCGGCCCTAGACTCCGCGCAAGGCATGGCAAACTCCACTCCCGTTTAACTAGGGTTAGGGTTTAGGGTTTAGGGTTTAGGGTTTAGGGTTTAGGGTTTAGGGTTTAGGGTTCAGTGTTCCCAACTCCCCTTGCGAATAGGGTGGCCTCTTTCCGGAGGAGGGGGCCCGATCCTCCATGACGCTCCCGGCGGGTGGGGCCTTGCTCTTTTGGACGACCTGCCTCTCGGCCACAGCCTTGGGAGAGTTTGGATGTATTAGATGCAGTCGGCTTTCTTTTTGTGTATTTTGCAAAAGTGCTTTCTTTTCTCATGCAGGATCTACTTGCTCTCACCATACATTCTATGGTTTGCACTCATGTCACATTCTGCGCAGTAAGACGGCCAGGGGGGGTGTAAGGGGCCCGGTAGTCCCTTGTAACCCTAGAAACCCTAAACCCTAGCCCCTAACCCCTAACCCCTACCCCTAAACCCTAAACCCTAAACCCTAAACCCGAAACCCTAAACCCGAAACCCTAAACCCTAAATCCTGCACTATATACTATGAACCCACGACAAGTCCAGAGCTCCACTGCAAGGAGGGGCTTCGCCGTGCCTGGAAAGCGCGACCCCCTGGTGGTGGCGATGCGCCGCATCCTCAGAATCTGACCTGGCTTGGGGTTTGGGGTTTGGGGTTTGGGGTCTGGGGTCTGGGGTTTGGGGTTTGGGGTTTGGGGTTGGGGTTTGGGGTTTGGGGTTTGGGGTTTGGGGTCTGGGGTTTGGGGTTTGGGGTCTGGGGTCTGGGGTTTGGGGTTTGGGGTTTAGGGTTTAGGGGCGGAGAGAGGGGGTTTTGCATACGAATGTGTATGCATTCTTCTTCATTCCGGGGCGAGTGGCAGGGTTCTTCATACAGAAAGGATCGCAGCAACAGGCCCAGGCAGGGAGAGAGTGACATGTTTTTCTTTCTTGTTCTGATCACTGCTTTTGCATTGTCTGTTGTTTGTTGGTGTTGACATTGATTAAAGACACGTGGGGCGATGCGTTTCTACGTAGAGCGTGGCGCGCAGAAGTTTTGACAGCAAGTGTATGCTCAAAATTGCAGGTCTGATGTAAATCCCAGTCGGAACACGCTCTGGACCTATGTGCTACTGAGTGCCACTGAGTGCCGTTGGATGACCCGGTCGTGGAAAAAAGCGAAGATCGGGCCCAAACGCATTTTGTGACCAGTCTAGGATTCAAGGCTGCTGTTCCATGAACATATCAAGGTCGGCTGGTGGCCTGTCCGAGCTCGCATTTCAGGAGATCTTCTCAACCCAGCTGGCCCGTAGCTCAATATGGGGGTTTCGGAAAATAGGGGTGCCTTATCGGGTCCGTACTATAAGGGGATCCTACTATTTGGGGATCTATATTGGGGGTCCCCTATTTTCGCAAACCCCCATATCGCTTTTTGGTTGGGGGGCACTGAGGCTTCATGGTGCTCTCAGGATTGCTTAGATTCTGGATGCGCCTGAGCCTAAACCGCCTCAACAAAACTCTCCGAACACCCTAAACCCTAAACCCTAAACCCTAAACCCTAAACCCTAAACCCGAAACCCCAAAACCATCTCCGGGTGAAGCCGAGGCGCACGTGAATCCACCGGAGGTCGGCCGACACCGCACCGTGTCCTTCGTGGCCTACTACCCTGAGGCCGAAGATTCGAAACGTTTAGGGTTTAGGGTTTAGGGTTAGGGTTTAGGGTTTAGGGTTTAGGGTTTAGGGTTTAGGGTTTAGGGTTTAGGGTTTAGGGTTTAGGGTTTAGGGTTTAGGGTACGGGGGTGCTCTTCTGACTGTCAGGGGTGCTGGGCCGAACGCCCAAGCACTCTCCAGGTCTTTCGCGACCTCCGGTCCCACGGTTGGGGCGCCTCATCCTCGGTAAGGGTTCCGGGGTGTAGGGTTAGTTCGGGGGGGTTAGGGGCTGGTTTAGGGGTTTGGGGGTTTAGGGTTTAGGGGTTCAGGGTTACAAGTTTCGGGTGTTTCGGTGGAGGCGTGTCGGTTCTGGAGGTTGCTGTTGCTGTCCCATGTTTTTGCAAGTGACCATATGGAAGTTCGCTTGCGTGTGAGCTGTGTTTTCAAAGTGTCGAGGTCACGGACGACGAGTTTCTGCACTCGATCTGTGCCGGACCCCTTTCAAGGGGCCAGCAGGAGCCGGGAGATGGGACATACAAGCGGTGGAACAAATGTACCGAGACCATTCACAGTAGCAATGGCACCGTAGCAGTAGCATCGCGTCGTAGCGGCTACGACGTAGCCCTGCTTGCAGTTATAGCAGGAGTAGCAGCCGTAGCTGTGTTCACAGCTGCGACAGAAGGGCGGCGGCCACATTCTTCGTAGCCGGTTTGATCCTTGAGCCTTCGGGCCGGAGGTCCGCTCCCTGGCCGGACTCTGTCCTGGTCGCACTCCACTCCACTACTCTTCGTATCCCTTGCACACGACTTCGTGGCAGCAGTCAGTGGCATGGAACGTCTTCATTGGTATCGGCACATCATGCCTGTGGCTGCGGCTGTCCTGGGCGTACTCGCCAGGAGGGCGAGGAGGCCGAGAGGCTGGTGTTCACCAGCCGCTGAGACTGCAGTCGGCTGTAGTCGGGTTGAGAGGGTATCTCGGGTTCTGGAGAAGGTTATTGGTTCATTTGGGCGCCGGTAAGGTGTTTATGGCTTTGTGTCGGGCTGATTTTTGTTGGAGAACCCAAGGCCAAAGTGTTTAAAGGACTTGCTTTTCCATTTGGGGGGTTTGTCCTAAATGCCGGGTCCCTTCATATACCTCCGAACAAATTGGACCCTTCACATGGGCATTTCCCAAAATAGGGTCTCCCTTACAAAACCCCAAATGGTGGTTTCCGAAATTAGGGGTACCTTATTGGGGTCCATATTGCAAGCGAATCCTACTATTTGGGGGTTAAAAGGGGTCCCGTATTTTCGTAAACCCCCAAATGAAGCAGAATCCCCCTTTATATCAGGCTCAACTTAGTGAGGCCACGGTATGTGCGGCTTCGGCCTCCGGGGGCACTCCGGGAACAGTTGGCTGAGTGTAACCCTAAGCCCTACGCCCTAAACCCCAAACCCGAAACCCTAAACCCTAAACCCCAATCCTAAACCCTAAAGCCTAAACCCTAAACCCTAAGCCTCTAAGCCCCTAAACCCCTAAACCCTAAACCCCTCCGGCAAGGTTGGGATAAGAAGTATCTGGCGAAAACGGTCATGCCCTCGGAGGCCCTCCGGGATGCTCCTAGAATCGATGAGGGTTTAGGGTTTAGGGTTTAGGGTTTAGGGTTTAGGGTTTGGGGTTTGAAGCCGCGGCGTAGCCAGGCTCTCTTTGTGCATGGCTTGGGAACTCGATGTTATGATTTCACGAGTCATGGGGTCGCCAAACCCTGGACCCCAAACCCGGGAGTGTGATGATGGGTGGCAGTTGGGATGTTCCCCCTGATACTAGCAGTCCTCAATAGGGATTATGGTAGGGGGTACTATAATCCCTATTAAGGACTGTTAGTATAAGTGTTGGCAGGTTCATTTCTTTGCGGACCACCTGCTCGCATACCATGGACACATGCGAGGCGTGCTGGTCCTTCCTTGAATGGGTTTTTTCGGGTTTAGGGTTATTGGTGCGTTAGGAAAGTGCAGAAGGCTATGGAAAGCTTGAAGTGCCACGACGTCCAGAGCCCTAGTGTTTTCGGTATATTTCTCTAGTAAGGGCGCTGTCGCTTGGTGTTTTGTACTGCCCGGTGGATGTCACATGTGACGAAGGGTACTGGATTCATTGTGCAGTGAAGAGGGAATTCGCCGATTCCCTACGTTGAAGATCCAGTAAGCTAAAGCCGCAGCAGGGTGCCTGAGACCCCAGCGATCAGTTGCAAGCGTCCGTGGCAGGCTCTCCGTCGTCCTTGCTGCCGGCAGCCGAGCTATGGAATCGAAGCCTGATAAATCCCCCTTGGGAATGATTTTTCATTTTTGTTTATATAACACCCAACAGGATATTAAAAACACTATTCTTATTAAGGTTCTGAGGGGAGTAGTCTAGGTTCAGGGTTAAGGGCTGAACTTGCCGATTTCAGCTCCCGGCCCGAGAGCCCCCCATGCAGTCGCGATCTTCTGGAGCCGCACAAGCTCTTCGTAGCCACAAGCGAACACAACCCGCCTGCTGCAAGGGAGGCCAGGGAGGCCCTTGCAGACCTGATTTTGTGACCCGAGGCCGCGGTTCTGCGGCCTGTACAGCCTTCAGTTCCCGAAGGAGTTGGGGCTTAAGTTTTGGGATTTCGTGTCACGAAATGGTCTTGCTGTGTGCGGAGTCCATGTTGCATGGCGCCCGTTTTTGGTTTCGGGTTTAGGGTTTGTGAGGTTTGAGGTTTCGGGTTTAGGGGTGGTCACAGGAGCCCGCGCCCGCGTACCTGGTCGTGCTTCAGAACCTCTTCGCTCCCGGCGGGGTCCCCGGAGGGCACTTGAACCCAAAGAGCCCAAAGAGCCCTAAGCCGTAAGGCCTCTGGTGCCGGAAGACAGGCAAGTCGACACGAGCAACGAATGCAGGTTATGTACAAAAGAGGTCTTGCGGAAACAAGCCGTTTCGAGGCGCGATGATCCAGGCAGATGACCCAAACCCACCCTGAACTCACGTTTCCCACAATGACTGATTCGCGATCCTGCGCTAGACCCTGGCCGACGGGGTGGATGGGGTTGTACGTGGTACTTGCGGTGCCGTACGTTTTTCCTGACAAGAGTGCCTGACGGATGGAGCTCAGCCAGGAAAGCTTATAGGACCAGGTCAAGCACAGACCAGGGCTGAGAAGCAGAAAGGTTTTACCGGTCTGGGTAGCAGTGAAGCGCCCCAGGTGTACGCATGAAGGAGAGCTACGAAGTTAAGGCCGGGCCGGGGGGGGGGGGGGGAATTGTCCAAAATAAAAGGTTCCCTCAACATACACCAAATACCATAGCCTTAAACCGTATTATGGGATTCGGAAACCCCGAAATAGGTGTGGTTTTTTGCAGGGCTTGCTGGCCTCGCACCGCTACGTGTCGAAGGAGGAGCGTGAGAAGGGCGCAAAAGTTCTCAAGGACCTGAGGGTTTAGGGGAGGGTTATTGAATTTGGGAGTTGCTAGTTGGATCAGGTCGCCAGGCGGTGGGCGAAGGAAAACATGGCTGCTTCTAGAAAGATGCTGCGGCACCATGCCATGCCTTCTTAAAGTTATGCAAAGTCACCCAAGGAAACCCTCCCAAGTCGAGGGTATCCTAAAGTCCCGAAAATCCTGAGAAGCTAAACCCTAAAATGCACCAAAAATCACATATAAAGATTTCATATATATATAATATACATAATATATATATCTATATATATCTTCCAAATCTCCTCTCTCTATATATATATATATGTATCGAGATTGTATATGTGTACATATATATTATGTATATATATGTATATGCAGGGGGATCTATCTATAACCCTAAACCCTAACCTAAACCCTAAACCCTAAACCCTAAACCCTAAACCCTAAACCCTAAACCCTAAACCCTAAACCCTAAACCCCTAAACCCTAAACCCCTTATAAACCTTAAACTTAAACCTAAACTAAACCCCAACCGAAACCCCAAACCCTAAAAGTGATAAAAGTCAGGACCGGCCCTGCTCCAGCGGAGCCGGCTTCGCCTGGGCCCGGTGGGCCTTTGTTCCACCGACAGCTGCAGCAGGCGCCCTCCGAAACTTGGTGGGGTTTTGGGGTTTACGGTTTAGGGAAGGGTATTCGGGTTCAATTTTGTTTGGTGGGCATATATAGGGCTGTGGCTCTTTCTTGCTATGTTCATTCATTTGCAAAGATCATGACGTCTGGAGCACGACAAGCACATGTTCAGATTCCTGGACACAGAAACAACTCTTAGCAAAATACCCTAAACCCCTAAACCCAACCCTGAAACCCTAAACCCTAAACCCTAAACCCAAAATTGTCGTAGGCCCTCGTGTCGCGGGGTCCACCTGACCTGGCAGGATGTATCCTTTGGAGGCACGTGGGCGAGTGACTATTGCCTACAGCGCAGCCGACACGAGGCACAGTGGTGGCTGTTTTGTGGCTTTTGTTTTGTTTTTGTCTTTCTTCTAATTTTTTTTCGTCTCTCTCTCTCCTCTCTTCCCCGCTCGCTCGCTGTGCGGGAGCCACGACATGTCAAGCGGCTTCTCCAGCAGCTCGGGGTGCAGGTAGAGTCTCATCTGCACCCAACATCTTCGATGCGGATGTTGACTCATCATAAATTTGCATCACAGTCACAGCAGCATTCTTGCGCTCAACCATGTCCCTTGTACGGCCTGGGCTTGATGTCTCTCTCTTTCTTCTTCGCTGTTGGCTAGTCCTGCCTCAACAAATCAACACACAAGTCAGCTTTTAAACCTAAACCCTAAACCCTTAAACCCTAAACCCCTAAACCTTATTGAGGAGCTGAAGGGTGGAGCTAGCTCTCCCAGAGCAGGAGCCCGATGATCTGAGAAAATAGCTCCTTGTGAGACTGCACGTTTGCCACACACCGGAGCACCACACACCTTTCTAGGAGGCCAAAGCCACCGTGACCACAAAGGAATCTTCTCCAAGCATCGCCTCTTTGCATTTTTGTTCAGGAGAGTGGTTTATCCTGCCGCCACAGACGGTGCTTTCTTTTCTCGGGGCCCATATACGCTCTTCCAAATGCATCACTGGTGACGGCCCGTGGAGCAGTTTGCATGGGGGTTGTTCAAACACTTTGAAAGTACGGCCCGGCATGCGCAATCATGTTGCAGAGGGCAAGGGTGCCCGTACAGACTCCTGTGCCGATGATGTACTGCACGATTTTCTGCGTCAAAAAACCCCCCCCCCCCCAAAAAAAAAAAAGGTCAGGATTCGCAGCGCAAGATCACAGCACGATGCATGCCGCATGGTTGCCGCGATCCCCCGCTTCTCATCATTTCCTCTTCTGTCACTTGTCACGTCGGGTCAGATCGTATCATGAGGCACAACTTGTATGACATTTTCGCACGACAATACGCATGTGTGTATGACAATGTGTGACTTGTCAGCTCGAGGTTCAAGTTGCGATGCGTTGTCGTGCGCTTCGGTGTCATGCTTTTTTGTCCTGCGTCGAGAAAATCCGCCTCTTTGCCAGTTTGGGCGTGGCTTCTTTCACCGAGGCCAATAAGGCCGGGGGCTAGAGCTGCGGGATCTGAACAGGCAGAAGCTTCCATCTGGGACTTTTTGTGCAAGTAGACTCTAAACTAAGCTTCCCTCAGCCCTAAGTCTGAATCCTAAGGCTCTAAGCCCAAAACCCACAACCCCAAACCGCAAAACGAGATCTAAACCCTAGACCCTAGACCCCAAGACCCCAAGACCCCAAGACCCCAAACCCTAAACCCTAAACCCTAAACCCTAAACCCTAAACCCCAAACCCCAAACCCTAAACCCTAAACTGCCCAAGGTGGGTGCCCTTGCGGTTGGGCTCCGCACCATGGCCGCCGGGCGCTCGTTCCTTCTTCCTTCCAGACCTGAGGGGTTTAGGGTTTCGGGTTTAGGGTTTAGGGTTTCGGGTTTAGGGTTTAGGGTTTAGGGTTCAGGGATGGGTTTAGGGTTTAGGGTTTAGGGTGTTAGGGTTCAGGGTTTAGGGCTTAGGGTTTGGATGGGTTTGGATGGGTTTAGCTGGGTTTAGCTGGGTTTTAGGGGTTTATGGTTTAGGAGGGTTTTAGGGTCTAGATGGGTTCTAGGGTTTAGATGGGTTTTCGAGTTTAGATGGGTTCTTAGGGTTTAGATGGGTTTTAGGGTTTTGGGGTTTAGATGGGTTTCATTTATGGTTTAGGGTTTTAGGGCTGCCTTCATCATGCATGTTGCATGCGGCCGGCCAAATCCGCCGACGCCGCCGAATAGGGCGAAGCTCCAAACCCTAAACCTTGCAAACGTTAAAAAGGGCTCCTTTGAACCCATGGGTTTCTGCCAAACCATGTGTTCCAACTCCTTTGCATGTACTTTGAAGCCCACATTATCTCCCTAAAAGGAGGAAGTCGGGTGAGAAACCCATGCAACCCTAAGCCCTAGCCAACAGGCCAATCATCTGACGAAAACCAAAAAACACGAGGGCAGAAGGTGTCGGCCGGAAACCCTAAACCCTAAACCCTAAACCCTAAACCCTAAACCCTAAACCCTAAACCCTAAACCCTAAACCCTAAACCCTAAACCCTAAACCCTAAACCCTAAACCCTGAGCCGTAAGCCCTGAGCCCTAAACCCGAAACTCTAAGCCCTAAACCCTTGGGGCGATCCTAAACCTGCCCAGGCGGACGACTCCGAGGGTGATGAGGTAGTCTTCATGGGTCTGGCGGAGATTTTCCAGGAGCCAACCGTTGGGGGGGCTAGGGTTCAGGGTTTAGGGTTTAGGGTTGATGGTTGAGGGTTTAGGGTTTAGGGTTTGGGGGACCCCTGATATCGACCCCCCAATACTACGATTCCCATATAAGCAGGACCCCAATAAGGTATCCCTACTTTCGGAAGCACCCAGTTGGCAGTTTCCGTAAATTCCGGGGAAACCAAGTGTTGGGGTACCTGTAGGGGATTATCTAGCATGTTGGGGTACCCCTATTTGAGGAAATTGCCCCACTCGTATGCAGCTTCGCTTAGGAGAATCGAACTTGGTGCTGTGTCTGGCCCTCAGGACCATGCGAAGAGCCGCTCGCCTGAGAGGAGGCCCCGCAGTGCATGGAGCTCTCGAGGTGGAAGCGTAGATGGTTCGATGTTGGAACCTCACTGTTAGATGAAGCCCTTAACCAAGAATGATCCCTCCACGCGGGCACCTCACAAATCCCCGAAATCCTTCAACCCTAAACCCTAAACCCTAAACCCTAAACCCTAATCCCTAAACCCTAAACCCTCAAATATGACCCGTTTTAGCGGGCCGAAGAATGCTCCGCAGGGTGCTGGCCGGGGCCGAAGCTGTGCCGCCGGCTCACTACGCCGGCCTCTGAGGATGCTGTTTGTGCAAGATTTGGGGTTTTAGGGTTTAGGGTTTAGGGTTTAGGGTTTAGGGCTAGGTGAACTAAGGTGGTTCGAAATGATGGGCGCGAACTGAAAATTGATCCTGGTAGTTTAGCCATGCCAGTTCAGATCAACCCCAGATCATATTCATTGTGCGGGTACGCTTAAGTGTAAGGCAGTGACCATACATGCGCCCGCTGTCAGGCCCGACGCTTTCTGGACTTTCTGTCGCAGCGCATTGTGTGAGCCAGCAGTCTGAGAATCTTGCCTGGACAAATGGCCCCAACCCCAGACTCTCTGCGCATCTCTGAGTGGGTTTAGGGGGTTTAGGGGGTTTAGGGAGTTTAGGGAGCTTTGCCGCTACATGCCCTCCAGTCGCAGCAGTTTTGCCCCCAGCCTATACGACGAGTACGTACATGCGACCGGCGCAGTCGTTGCGCGGAGCATCCATACCCATTTCATGATTGTGTGCATTCCAGCTGCGCCTTTGTCAACTTTGGTGTCCTGGAGCATCCATGCCCGTACGATGATCACGTTCGGCTATCGCATTCAGCCACCGCCGCATGTGTTGCTTTGAGCATCCACGCCCATATCATGCTGACGTGAACGTCACCAGCGCATCCGTTGTCCTGGAAGATCCACGGCTTTGCCGGGTTTAGGGTTTAGGGTTTAGGGTTTTTGGGGTTTAGGGTTTAGGTGTATTTGCGTTCCCTGGACCCTACACTTCATGCTCCCAAACCCTCAACCCTCAAGCCGCTACTTCCGTACTTTGCGAGAACTCCTCGGCAGCGGGCATCTCCCAAAATAGGGGTGCCCCGAGCATACCCCAAAATACTGCAAACCTCATTATAGAATAGAATCCCCCCCAAAAAGGGTTCACCCTAAAACCCTAAACCCTAAACCCTAAACCCTAAACCCTAAACCCTAAACCCTAAACCCTAAACCCTAAACCCTAAACCCTAAACCCTAAACCCTAAACCCTAAACCCTAAACCCCAAACCCCAAACCCTAAACCCTCTTTTCGGCAAAAACCCCCATCTAAACCCTGGGTTCTGCCCAAGGTGCCTTCCACCCCCCTCGAGAAGAGAAGCTTCGAGGGGGCCGCTCCGGGAAGGCACCCTGCTTGAAGAAGGGCTTGCTGGTTTTTCTTTAGGGTTTGGGGTTTAGGGTTTAGGGCTTGGGGTTTGGGGTTTGGGGTTTGGAGTTTGGGGTTTGGGGTTTAGGGTTCAGGGTTTACGGTTTAGGGTTGGTTGTTGTAGGGCAACTTGCAGAGGCCAATGCGGTTAGAGTCAAGCCCCAATCACCCTCAGGAGAGCTCTGCATTGCTGGTAGCAGCTGACTCCAGACAATGCCCTGAAAGGCTGCGAGACAGATCGAGCTCAACGCCTACCTCACCGCCTTGCTGGCTTGCTTAAGGCCCCCAGGCCTGCGGAGCTGCGCGGAGTGCGCGTCTCAGGCAAGCTGCAGCAGTTCCACCAGTTCCACGCCGCGCTGAAGACGACCATAAACATCAGCTTCAAGGTCGGTGGCGGGATGGGTCATGTTGGGTCATGCTAGGAGTGGCCCGGCACTGAAAAAGGATCTCACAAGAGAGTTGGTTAGGCAGCTGGTTTGTCGAGGTGCAAAAGAGTTCACAACACACCCTGGAGACCGCTGAAGGCACTCTGATCCTGATACTTGAGAGCGTTGCGGCCCTCAAAACTCAAGAACGAGAGCCTCGCGACCGCCGCTTCGTCCTTTGCGAAGAGGATGATGCAGGCGCGGTGCTCGGCAGAAAGGGGTGCAGAGCAGGCTTCTCCATGAGGGCACGCTACTTTTGGAGCGTGTCATTCATGGAGGGCAACGTCGTCCGGCCGAAAAGCATGAGGATGCTAGCGTTGCGGAAGTACCCTGAGAAAGAAAGAAAAGTGCTTCAGCTATGCGAGCAGGAGGCCAGGACATCCAGAGACTGCCAGAGACTGCTTAATCAATCTTGAGAATTCCATGTCGGATCGCGTTCCTTGGGGTGAAGTGTTGAACTGCATTGCTGGGACGTTCTGGCTCGAAGAGGCTGCTGCGCTAGCGTGTCGCTTTCCGCACACTGAGGGTGCCAGCCTGAGACTCGACCAGGAGGGGTGCTAGCGGCTGGCGACAAGAAACAACACAATACAACAATGACAGTGCGCTTCGAGCTAAATGGAGCGTGTTTGAAATTTGGCACAAACACGAACGCCGCGTGAGTTGAACATGCGTTCATCATGTTAGGATCGTCGTTTAACGACACGAAGCACTGTACATGCCGGTATAGTCGTGATGGCAAAGCTATCAACGCAACGCACAAGCCCCGAGCCAGGTCAGTGTGAAGGATTGCTGATGGCAGAGCCGGCAGCGAAGAAGGCCAAGGTCGAGGCAGAGTCGGGATTGTAGTTTTGGGACACAGGTGTCGGGATGGAGAGTTCCAAAAAAATGGGTGGGGTTAGACAATTTTGTTGGCGGTGGCGGTGGTGGTTGTGGTGAAGGCAGTTTTGCTCTGCATCTTCCGAGCCTCAGCATTCTGCCTTTCTTGTGGCTCAGACGAAGACCGTCGAAGATCAGTGGCAGGCTGTAGAAGAGAAGAACCGGGAGGCGCAGCGCCGCCAGCAGTAGTCTGTGGAGCTGGGTGCTGCGTCGGGTTTGAGGTTGTGATGTCCCTTTGTTGATCCCTGGTGTTTCTGTTTTCTAGGTGAAGTGTGTCCACCACAAGGTAGGCTTTGCGTGCGCCTTACCAATAATGTGATCTAGTATGGAAGGAGCTCCTGAAGGAGCTAGTTGACGCCTGGGACTATGAAGGCTCCGACACCCTGCCTTTGGAGGACCTGCTCTTAGCCTACAACCCTTCCGGGACAGGTGGACAGGCTGACTCGCTATGCATTGTACAGGAGATCTTGCCTGTCTACATGAAAGGCGTGCTGGAGCCGCAGGCTTGTGGACCACCCCAATGCCAAAATGTCTACCTCTGTGCACCGATGAGAGAACATTGAGAAAGGAGTAGTGTCACTGCACCTTGTGATGAACTTGCAGGTTCGAGCTGGTATTGAGAAGTTCTGCGGCTCGCAAGGCTTGATGTGCAAACTGCAGAAGGGGGTTCCGGAGATTGAGTGGCAACAGCACCCGGAACAGGCATCAATCCTGCAAAGGGCTTGGACAAGGAAGTGTTCAAGATTCTTGGTTCAAGAATCGTTGAGACTCATGGGTCATGCTGCGCTCAGTTTGCAGTCCGAATTGTTGCTTCCTTTGCCAAGGAAATGGCTGAACAAGCTGCCCACGGAGCAGCTGGCTGCGCTGATGAACACGAACCTGGCTGTGGTGAAGGCAGATTTGAGGAACATTTATGAACGAGTACGCAGGTCCTTTTTGCTTTGCTGCGCTCTATGCATCTCTGTCGAACTAAACAGGGCTTGGCCGCCGTGGGGTTTTGGAAAAAGGCTCCTAGTGAATACCTAGTGACCAGGTGCTGTTCTGACCAAGGGTCATTAAAGAGTTTTCCGTTTTGGGCTTTGGGACTGTGGGCTGGCTGCACCATGATTCACATCGCTATTGTACCACAACAGCGCATGTCGTTGCCTTGCACAACGCTTCCTACTCATCCTTCATAAAAACAACTAACTACCATATTCATTGCTGGAAGGCTTTGAACCCACTCGATGTGCATGGCGCAGGACTTCAGAGACAAAAGCACCAAAGAGATGCTGGATTCTCCAGCATCTCCAAGGAACAAGAGCAAGAACCTGCGGCGCAAGGTTGCACGCACGCTGCGAGCTCAGTGCCCGCAAGTTCTGGTTTTCCATAGTTGTACTTGGACGGACCGTTACTTGGACATGTTGTGCCTACAGTCGTGGGGAGATAGCCATTGCAACAATCAGGAAGAAGCAGCTGTTCGGCTCGCCCTGAGCTTTTGTCTTTCCGGCCTCGAGCTGGTGTCTCCGGCCCGATGATGAGTCGAGTTTAGGGCACTGTATCTAGCACCCAAACCCGGTTCGGTCCTGGTACGCCATCCTGGCTCGGATAGTGGAGGGTTTCTATGGATCAGCTGATACCTTCGCGCATGCAGCTTCTTTTACCTGACGCACACTGGCCATCTCCCCTTCAATACATATATATAAATGTATAGCTGATCCTGAGCTGCACCAAGTCGACAAGGTTCGACCACATTTGACAAATCTTTGCGCACAAGTACTCTGTCCGACTCCAGTTTGAACCTGAAATGCCCAGTCAACGAAGATGAGCGGTTAGTGGCAAGCTTGCAACCCACGGGTCTTTAAGGGGAGTACTTCAAACTAATCCAGAAGAGGACAGCTGCATCGTGCCGATCGCTATGAATTCAGTGGATCTAGTGGGGTTGTGTTCGAACCCATCACTGGCCACATGTGGGGATTCCCTGGCTGATAGCTGGAGATTCAAGAATCCCTTCCACGAATTGCGTCATTTTGACGAGTGCCTTCCGGCGAGAAAAGCTGACTTCGGCGTGTGGCGTCTGTCAGTCTGGAAGTTGTTAGCGCCAGCCCTGTTGTTGCTATGATGAAATCTCGTAGCGTTGCCGTTCGTATTGTTAAGTTCCGAGGTCAGTGAAGACTTTTTGCAGCCATTTGGACGTCAGCAAGCAGTCACTAGGCACTCGCACACACCCTCACATTACACACATGACGCACCCTGTTGATCTTGAACGAAGTACTCCTTTATGAATATGACCACATTCAACTACCTTTACCGGCGGAAGTGGTGGGAGTTCGCGTCTGCGAAAGATGGCTGGCGTCAAGGCGAGGAAGGGCACCTGCTGCTGAGTCGCTGTGTCTCTGAGTTGAGTGCTAAACTATAAAGGGCCCAAGCTTTTGAGGCCTCTAAGCTCCCTGCCCGAAGCTCCGCTTGCATCAGGTGTTGCTGGGCAGCAAAGGCCGCGGAGAATGGTTGGGTTTAGGGTTTAGGGTTTAGGGTTTAGGGTTTAGGGTTTAGGGTTTAGGGTTTAGGGTTTAGGGTTTAGGGTTTAGGGTTTAGGGTTTAGGGTTAGGTTTAGGGTTTAGGGTTTAGGGTTTAGGGTTTAGGGTTTAGGGTTTAGGGTTTAGGGTTTAGGGTTTAGGGTTTAGGGTTTAGGGTTTAGGGTTTAGGGTTTAGGGTTTAGGGTTTAGGGTTTAGGGTTTAGGGTTTAGGGTTAGGGTTTAGGGTTTAGGGTTTAGGGTTTAGGGTTTAGGGTTTAGGGTTTAGAGGTTAGGGTTTAGGGTGTAGGGTTTAGGGTTTAGGGTTTAGGCAAGTGTGGCACGTCATCCTCCGCAGGCCCCGCTCGCGAAGGGCATGCTGCCAAGGTTCAGGCCATGGACGTGGAGGCCGACGGCCACTCACCTGCCGAGGTTTTTGGGCATTTTTGGGGGTTATACAAA